GAGAGATCCCTTGAGGTTTGTCCGGAGGGAGGAGGGTAACTTCTTCAGGTTAGGCATCCTTAGAAGAGGCTTCGCAGTGGGGTTAAAATTGAATCAGAGATAGTAGGAACTGCTGCGAAGCCTCTTCTAAGGATGCCTAACTTGAAGAAGTTACCCTCCTCCCTCCGGACAAACCTCAAGGGATCTCTCTCCCACTGCAACTCCTCTCCACCTATCCTCTCCTCTATCCCTCTTCTATCCGCCTCCCACTCTCTCCCTATTTATTTCAGAACCCCCTTCCCCTCCCCCTTTTCTGATGAAGGGTCTAGGCCCGAAACGTCAGCCTCTCTGCTCCTATGATGCTGCTTGGCCTGCTGTGTTCATCCAGCCCTGCACCTTGTTGTCTCGGATTCTCCAGCATCTGCAGTTCCTACTATCTCTGAAGAAAATTAGTAAATTGGAAGGTGATTTGGAACATCCTGTGGTCATTACGGGGGTGTCACAAAGACATTAGATAAATTTTCTTTCCCCAGAAGAAGCCAGCGGAGTACAATAAAGTGCATGGATCTTTGATAATTCTGTCTCCTGCCAGGGGACCACAGTAGGTGACTTCAATGACACCAAGCCATCTCAGCTGAGATGAGCCAACACATGATCCAATGTGGCTCGATGCCATCTCTTCCCGCAAAACTACTGACTGAACCTTTCGGAGCAATTGAGAGGCATCAAAGGTGAATTCTTACAACATAAACAGCGGCGATTCACGATTATATCAATCCCACCCCCTCAATCAGGTTCAAAGACGCATGGATAGAGGAGGAGGAGGGTGAAAAGAAAAATCAAAAACCACTTCTCTAATTTTTTTGCAACCCAAACAGTAAAGTCACACAGACTCTGCGAACCTAATCCCCAGGTTTCTTCTGTGGGTCTTGGATCATATTCTGATTAAAATTCAACTTGATTGACAGAAAGATCAACATTTTACTGCATACACTACTACAAGCTGCACTAACATATGCACCGAGAACCCCTCACTGTAAACACCCAACTGCTCCAAAATCAACAATTCCTCGGTATACTTCTTTTGATTTTCCTTGCCCATTTGACACACAACATCTAAGCTTGGTAAACCTAATCCCAGGATTTTTTTTTACTGTATGCATGCTTTTTGGGGAAAAAACCTTTCATATAAAATTTAAACTGACTGACAGAAAGGTCAACATATCCCACACAAAGCACTGTAGTTTAAGGAGGAATGATATTACTTCAACTGCTCTCAGACAAATATTTTTCCTGTAAATATGAAGGATTCTCCAATCAACTACGTTCAATTCGAAACATTCAGGAAAAAAAATGTTAAAATAACGCATTTGTTTTTGTTAGGGAGAGGGGATTGTTACACAGGCAGACACACGTGCAAACAGGCACATAGACAGAAACACACACAGAGACCCAGAGACACACACACCAACACCCAGTCAAGCACAGACACATACACATGCAGATACATGGCAACCAACTGACTGACTGACTGACCCCCACACAGACTGAGGTGCACAGACGATGCAAATGACTAGTGCAAAGACTGACTCACCAAACACAAGATGTGCAGACTGACCAATCAATTAAATGTCAGGTGAACAGACTGCCTGCCCGACTGACTGGGGTGCAGACTGAACAACTATATATAAGACATGCAGAATTACTGGCTGATAAACTAACAGACAGGCATGCACACAGGCGCATACCGACTAACTGAGAGGTACACTAAACTGGCAGATAGGTATGCCAAATGACTGACACACAAACCAAGGGTGCACAGACTAGGCCCTATGCAGACTAAGAGACAGGCAGGCAGACCAAATGACGTGGATAAGAGATGCCTCCCATGACGTAACTCACAGTCAGTTGGAGAATACTCTGTTGACAAACAGGCTGTTGCAAATATGACAAGGGAAGTGTCACAAGAAGTTGACATAACAGTTAAGGAAATGCCTAAGTGTAACATGTTGATTTCACAGCCTTGCGTACAGTACATTCTTCCTTGAAGCATCGTGTAACCTTTCTTTAATAGGCATCAACCTAAGTTTGGGCAGTTGAGATTTAGTTCCCCCCACCGACCTGAAACATCCCTGAGTCACAGTTGATACTACTTACAGACACAGAGCCATAGAGATATACAGGATGTAAACAGACCCTTCAGTCTAACTCTTCCTTGCCGACCAGATACCCTAAATAAATCTAATTCCATACGCCATCATTTGGCCCATATCCCTCTAAACCATTCCTATTCATATACACATACAGATGCCTTTTAAATGTTGTAATTGTACCAGCCTCCACCACTTCCTCTGGCAGCTTATTCCACATATACATCACCCTCTGTGTGAAAAAGTTTTAAATCCTTCCCCTCTCACCTTAAACCTATGCCCTCTGGTTTTGGACTCCCCCACCCTGGAGAAAAGACCTTGTCTTATTTACTTTATCCATGCCCATCATGATTTCATAAACTACTATAAAGTCACCCATCAACCCCTGACGCTCCAGGGAAAATAACTCCAGTTTATTCAGCTTTTCTCTATAGCTCAAACCCTGCAAACCTGGCAACATCCTTGTAAATCTTTTCTGAACCCTTTCAAACTTCACAACATCCTTCCTATAGCAGGGAGATCAGTATTACACTTTAAGCCAAAAATGGCTTAACCAGTGTCCTGTACAGCTGCAACATGACCTTCCAAACTGCTATACTCAGTGCACTGGCCAATAAATGCAAGTATACCACATGCCTTCTTCATTATCCTATCTACCTGCAACTCCACTTTCGAGGAACTTTGAACCTGCACTCCAAGGTCTCTTTGTTCAGCCACACTTCCCAGGATATTACCATTAAGTGTATAAGCCCAATCCTGATTTGCTTTTCTAAAATGCAGCACCTCACATTTATCCAAATTAAACTCCATCTACCACTCCTTGGCCCATTAGTCCATCTGATCAAGGTCCCGTTGTACTCTCAGGTAACCTTCTTCACTGTCTACTACACCTCCAATTTTGGTGTCATCTGCACACTTACTAACCATACCTCCTATGTTCATATCCAAATCATTATATAAATGATGAAAAGCAGTGGACCCAATACCGAACCTTATGACACACCGCTGGTCACAGTCCTCCACCGTGAAAAGCAACCATCCATCAGCACTCTGTGTCTTCTAAATCGAGCCAGTTCTGAATCCAAATAGCTAGTTCTCCCTCTACTCCGAGTGATCTAACCTTGCTAACCAGTCTACCATAAGGAGGCTTGTTGAATGCCTTACTGAAGTCCATACAGATCACGTCCACCACTCTGCCGTCATCAATCTTCTTTGCTACCTGTTCAACGATAAAAGATTTTATTGGCTTTTGACACCAATTAAGAGCCTATTTTCCCTGGAGAGGATAGAACAGGAGGTCTCAGTCTCAGAATACTGGGATCAAAACCATTTGGACTATGGTTAAAAGAGAAATTCTTCACTTGTCTCCCCAGAACCTGAGGTACAAGTCAGGAGTGTGATGAAATATTCTCTACTTGCCTGGAGGAGTTCAGCTCCAACAACTGTCAAGAAGGTTGATGCTATTCAGGACAAAGCTGTCTGCTTGACTGCACCCTATCTATCACCTTCAACATTCATGGTGTAGTTTTTAAATTTATGTCACGCACATAACATGGGGAGACACTATTTCCATTGTGTAAAGGAATCTAGGACAAAGGTACATAGCCAGAAAATAACAGACAGATCTTTCAGATCAAACAAAAACAGATATTGCTGGAGAAACTCAGCAGGTCTTGACAGTATCAGTGGAAAGAAAGCAGAGATAACGTTCGGGTCCAGTGACTCTTCTTCAGACTCACTTCCAGTTTTATGGCTTTATTTTATCTTTCAGAATAAAGTTTGGAATGGATTTCCTTATTGTTAGTCTTAAATTGGAGATTGATGGGCTTTTGCAAATCAAAGGTGTATGGGTCTATGTACAAGGGGAGATGGTAGCGTAACATGAATGTCACTGGGCTCATAATCTGGAACCTCAGGCCAATGCTCTGGGTTTGGGTTTGAATCCCACCATAACAGATGGTGATATTTGAATTTAACAAAAAATATGTAACTAAAGAAAGGCCAACAGAATGACAACCGTGTAACCACTGATGATTGTTGTAAAACCCATGTAGTTCTTTAATGTCCTTTGGGGAAGGAAATCTGCCATCCTTACCTAATCTAGACTACATGTGACTCCAGACCTACAGCACCTGTGCTGGTTCAGAACTGGTCTCTGGGCAGTTAGGGATGGGTAATATATGCTGGCCCAGCCAATACTACTCAGGTCCCACGAATGTTGCAAAAACAAAAATGCAGTTGGGTCACAAATCATCCAGGACAAAGCAGCCCTACTTGATTGGCACTACATCCACAAGCATCCACTCCCTCCACCATTGACACTCAGTAGCAGCCGTGTATACTATCCACAAGA